CCCTACACTCAAATGATGTTACAAATATAGCACAAAGTAGTAAGATACAAAAACCTCTCAAATAGGTAGATATAATAATATACAACATAGAAACTATTCAGTTGCAAGAGTATATCTTGAGATGCCCAACCATAAGAAGAGACTTTCAGTAGATAGGTGAGATTGTATGAGCTTAATAGCTTCTTGGCTTTACTCACCTCCAAAAATAATTGAATCTTAGAAATCTCTTCAAAGAAAAATAAAATACTCTTGTTAATTAGCTCTCTACAAAAAAAAAAAAAAAAAAAAAAAACAACTAAAGACTATGTACATTAATAGCTCAGTTGTTTTTCTTTCTTTTTACTTAGTTTTGATTCAAAGTTGATGACCTCTATTTAGAGGCCTAGAGAGCAAGTGACCAGCCAAACATAGTAATGATTCAAGTTTCCTCCAACATGATAGAAGGCTTACCAAACATAGCAATAGTCATTTAAGCCTTCAACTAGTCAAATTTCTTCAAATGAGTCAACTATAAAATTTTGGTAGTCATCTACTATATAAAGGGGGAAATGTTTTTTCTCCTTTGGTTGACTAGCTCCTATTCAATCAACCAGTACTTGTTTAAACTCACTCTATTAGTGTTAGTTGACTATACATTTTTTGGGTAGTTGACTATTCATCTTAGACAGGTATTTCTATGCCTTAGTTGTCACAAATAGTTAACTATGCATTTTGGGATAGTCAACTATCCTTCACAATTAGGCACTTCATATCCCAATTGTCACAACTAGTTAACTATACATTTTTGGGTGCTATACAATAAAGCCCAAGCAATTTATGCCTCATTGCTGTCCAACATTGAAAAACTTTGGAAATATTTATCTAAAGGTTTGGATACTATTCCTTTGGATTTCAATATTGATTTTTAAGATTCTAAAAACTTGTTTAAGTCCAAGAAAGCATAAGAATAAAACCTATTATAACCATTTATCTTTAAGGTTGTATAAACTGAGTTTGGGTCTTGTTAAGCATCATAGAAAGTGCATCTCAAGCAACTAATTACATCAAAATCCTAAAGATATGAAACTTTTAAACACAAATAATGTAGTCTTCCTCCTTGATGAATTGTTGTAGCATTGAATTTTCTTAAGCAATTCCAAAGCCTTTGAATTCTTGTAATAGCCTTTCCATGCTTAGATTTGTTTGGAGCGTCCTTATTGCAGAGACTGATGATGGTGTTGAGAATATAAAACTTAGGAATCAAACAATGATTTCACTTTTTCATCTTTAATAGTATATTTGCTTAGTACAATTATGGCTTAATGAAGCTTACTTAAATTAGTTGCATACTTGGTACACTATTAATACCCCCAATGAGTTTGTTATCATCAAAGCACATAGGGTCAACCTTAAGTCATTGTTCGAGGGTGCTTTACCATTAAACCAAAAGCTATAATTGTAAGTTGATACAAACATGTCATTTCACTAGCACCCTACTAAGTGACCTAACCCTCAACCTATTACTCTACTACTCTACCACAAGGACTAAACCCATGTTGAACCATCTCACCCAGAGCCATAGTTGATAGCAAAGGCACAACATCAATCCCATATAGCGACTAGGATGTTAAGCCTCTTGAGTCCCTAAGGTATAACGCTAACCCATTTAAGGCCAATAGTCTCCCCTCAGCACTAACCAGGGGCCTCAAACCCGTGACATTGCTCTTATTCCAAGCCATTGTTAGAAGGCGCTTTACCATTATGCCAAAAGCTATAGTTATAAGCAGTGTTTAGAAACTCTTGAATCATGACCCAGGACCATGGTAGTTCAATCTTACCCCAATAACTGCTTTTGCTTTAACAGGAAAATCAATGAACCAAGTCTTTAACTAATTGAAATTTTAAAATGTGTTTAATAAGATTTGAACCGATGATATCTTATTTTCATATATTGTTTAATTACCATTACTCCATCTCTTAACTTGTATTAATTAATGACTTTGTATTTACATATTACTTTATTACACATGTATTTTAAAGAAAATGTAAATTAAGAAGAGACTTGGACTCTAGTTATTTGCTTTAAAAATTAAGGAACTTGCCATTCATGCACCATATTTAAGTAATTTAGAAGTTCTAAAATACGTTATATATAGTATTTATATGACATGTAATATATATATGCCACATCATCACAGCTTCACCTATGGTTCGACCCCAGTTGAACCTCTAACTTGTGAACCTCTCCCTTCTCTGGATTAATGCCCATCCTAGTTCTCTGAACATTGGTTATAAGTAGATACATGCATGACCTTTCACTAGCACTCCAATAGATGACTCGAACCTAGGAGTGCAAATGGATCGGATCATGATCCAATATTTGGTCGAATTCGGATCACCCCTATTTAGATCTTCGGATCGGATAATAGGATCCGATCAGAAATCCGTCGGATTTGGATCCCCCTATCCAATTTGAAAAGATCCGATCTAATATATATTATATATTTATAAATATATAATACATATATGTATATGTTATTTATTTATTTATTTATTTATTTATTTATAAATATATTTTTTATATTATATTTTTATAAATTTGTTATATTATTTATTTTTTATAAAAAACATGTATATGATGAAAATAATTAAAAATACTTATATTTTTGTTTTTACTTTATTTAAATTAGAATATTTTATTTTTCTTTTAAAAATTAATTAATTCTTAAAGAAAACAAATCGGATCGTATTAGATCCAAAGATCTGACTTACCGATAAGATTTGAATTCAAATTAAGTCCTATCAAATCCAATCGGATCTGACATGAAAAGTGTCGGATTATATTCGAATAACCCATATTCAAATCCGATCCAATCCGTTTGCATCCCTACTAGAACCGTCCTCTAGCACAAAGAACAAACCCATTATGTGCCATCACCCAAATCTATAGTTGATAAAAGGCACAACATTAACCCCTTATAGCAGGCCGGGATGTTAAGCCCCTTGATCCAAACGATGGCGACCAGCATGTATGGAATGAGTTTATTTGTTACTTGATACCTACATATTACAATGTTTAAATGCAAGCATATAATGATTTATTGTTGGACCTACGATGCTTTTGCTTATATTAGTAAGTTCTATAGATTTCTTCCCATAAAATTGAAAAAGAAATCCAAAAAATACCATAAAAAATATATTGAATGGTTCTCATGGTAAGAAAGAACTATAAGATGGATCTGATCTATCAAATCTATTGATCCATCAACAATTTATGCCAAAAAATATGTTTTGGTAATTTACATAAATAAATAACAAAAACATAACAATTATTTAGTAATTAAATTTTATTAACTGCATATTATATGATATGTATCTTTGTAATCCTAATGTGATAAGATACTTTTTTATATTAACTTTATATATTTCTAAAAATTATTAATTTATAATAAATATCATATTATTATTTATGAAAATATATTAATATAAAATTAATGTATTTTACATTAACAATTTTTAAGAAGTATATGGCATTTAACTAGCAACTAAAATATATAACTATATAACTCATATGATTTTACCTTGGACTCATACTCATGGATTCATGGTTTTTGAACCGTCGTTGACCTAGAGGGTTGTGAGTTAGACCATTCAATCCAGAAACTGTCCAAGCAATTGGCTCCATTTCACCCCTGAACCGTTCATTTCCCAAAAATCGTTGACTTAATCAACAACCCGCTGACCTGAGCAGTCAAACCATTGACCCATTTGACCCAAACAATAATTTTGGCCATTTTATTTTATTTTATTTTATTTTTTTAAATTGCAATGAACCATCCATTTTAATTGAATAGTTGAACTGCTGACCCAGAAACTGGTGGCCATAGCAGTTCCGATTCCAGGACAGTTATTAAAAACATTGGTCGGATTTATGGATCTTCCATATTATCATAGATCGAATTAATTTTGTAGATTTATTATATATTTTGTAAATTTTAACTTATAATTAACTAAAATAAATAATATGTTAATGGCTTTATAAATGTAGTAGTTTCTCAAAAGCCATATCTACATGTATAATAGTTATAGTTTTTAGTTTGGGTGGGCTACTAGTAATATATTTATAGTCCTAACAATCATAGACTTACTGTAATAATTATGGGATTTATCAGAGTTTCCTTGATGTTTCAGTGTGCATCCAGATCGTTTCACTATATCCATGTATATCAAAGCACGATATATATCCAGTTCCAACTTTACATATACACTTTCTGATGATACTGGTATTTTGTAACTAGCTTACAATCTTTTTTTTCCCTTGGATTACTTACAATCTAAGACCTGTTTCGAAGGCAATCGTAATGTGTACCATTTACGTAATCCATCAAGAAACTAGCCGTAATTTGGAACCATTTTGCTAGAAACTGTTGAGTGATAATCTATTGTGGTGATTGTCTAATATAAGGTCAATGCAAAGATCAAAGTATCATAACATACTGTACCATATTTTATGATACATACCAGTTCTTGAACCAGGCAACATGCTAAATAGTAAATACTAAGAATTAGGGGCAATGGCATTAGGTCTGAAAAAATGGTAGAAAGATGGGCACTAAGTAAAGGTTAACCTAACACTGAATTGCTCGATAATTGATTTCTCAGTGAAACTTGTTTCCGCATTATAATGCAGGCCCATTATGCACCAAATGGCCAGAGATTTAAAACTTCATTCAACTAGTCATAATTGTTTGCTACTTTGCTCAGTGTAGCTGAGGTTCTGTTTGGGAAGAGTGCAAATACAAATATGTGCAGTGCAAAGACACGTTTCAGAAATATCCTATACAAGGTTTTGCACTGAACATATTTGTATTTGCACTCTTCCCAACTGAACATGAAGAAAACATATCCCAATAATTGTCTAGTGTCCACGACTATCTATCATAGAGTTCACATCTTATTTTCCACCCTGAAAAGAGCAAGCTTTCAGATAGATATATTTTGGTACCGAGCTTTCAGATAGATTTCATGCAAGCAAGTTTTACCAATGTAGAAAATTGCATTTATGTAGCATTCAGAGGCTTCTATTTAAGCACTCACACATGGTTCCTGATTTCAAGGACTAAGCAGCATTAATGCATTATTACCAGGGGAAAAATTACATGTATCACATTTTGTGATTTACCTGCATCAGCGGGAAAACTTGATAATGATACATAAATGGCAGAGGAAATGCTTGCTACATGTTCAAAAACCCAGGGGCTCAAAAGACTGCTTCATAGCAAGTTTATTTGGTAAAGAAATCCTTCTGTCAGTCTAGATTTGCAATGACTGCATCAACAACCTCTTGGGTTGTACTGTCTCCACCAAGATCTTTTGTCCGATACTTGCCCTCTGAGATCACACGCTTTACAGCAGTCTCCAATCGATCAGCAAAAGATGGAAACTGTAAATGTCTCAGCATCATGGCAGATGAGAGAAGGAGGGCTACTGGATTTGCTTTCTTCTGCTCTAGCAATTTCTCATTTCCTACGTTGCCTGCCGAAGCACCTTGTTCAAAAATAGCATGATCAGCCCCCACATTGCCTGTAGACACCAAAAGCTAAAGATTTATCATTTATCATCATGGCAAGGGATGAAGATACAGGGAATTAAAAAAGAGAAAAGAAACTGTGATGCCAATCACAAAGGAGAGAAGTTAAAAAACCATGAATTGATTTCATGATTTGCTGACCATCCAAGCAATCACCATACAAATTTGAAGTAAAGCATTTACCTGTTAGATACATGCAAAATGAACAAAGATACTAACCTTCTTGGCTGATGTATAAATGAAATCTGTTCATATGGTTTCTAACATTTTAGAGCACAGGTTCACTATATAAAATGGAGTAATTTTCCTAGAAAAACACTAGGCCATTTCAGGATTGCACAAAAAAAAAAAAGAAAAGAACATGATTTCCTTAAAAAATCAATAAGAAACTTATTTTTACTAATTTTTGTGTTTGGTTCAACTTGGAAAAAGAACATGAATAGTCAAGAATTATATGGGCATTGTGAGATTGAGTCAAGAGAGGATAGAACATCTGTTTGGAAAATCACCTAGCAAAATAGAACAGATGTCATTTTCCTACAACTACAAACCTTCTGGAAGTGTCTGTTTTCCATAGCTATTTTGCATGCAGCATTGTAAAATAGCATTTTCTTTTGGAAACAATTCATTTTATTTTATTTATGTGCAACCTAAATGGAATAAGGAAATGTAAGGATTCCAAAAAAAAATTCTTGATCACCACATATTGATCCATTTCATATGACTAGTATGGTAGACCATAACCCCCCAACCCTGGTGGCACTGGGATTTGATTCCAAGTCTCCACTACAACCAGAAGACAACTTACCAACTGAGACGCCATCAGTTGGCTAGAAATTGACTCCTATTATTACAGCAAGACAAGTCTGAAAACTTTTTAATCTTACATCCATCGAAAATAAAAATTACCATCATCAACATCTAAGCCTTATCCCAACTATATGGGGTCCGTTACATGAATCCTGCTTCACCATACCAATCTGTTTAGAGCCATATCTATTGTTAAACCACAAGCACTTAAATCATTTCTAACTACTTCAACCCATGTCCGTTTTGGTCTGCCTCTGGCCCTTCTAGTCCTTCAACTTGTAATAGATCACTTCTTTTCACAGGTCAATTGAGATTCTCCTGCATTCCTTCAAATGACTTCATTTCTAACCCCATCCTTTCTAGTTTTTCAACTAATCCATCTCAGCATACACATTTTTCCGCACTCATTTTTTTGGACATGTTTCTTGATTGCCCAACACTCTGTTCCATCTCAGCATTTCTGGTCTTACTACTGTTTTACAAAATTTTCCTTTTAATACAAGTGGTATTTTCCCATCACACACGACTCCAGACGTGACCCTCCATTTTGCCCACCCAGCTCTGATTCTATGGGCAACATCCTCCTCAATCTATTCCTTGTTATGAATTATTGAGTCAAGGTCACACCGAGTTATCTCATAGTCTCCAATCTTATGTGTACCCTGGTTCACACTTCACACTACTATTACTATTAGGTTTACATGGCATATGTTCTGTTTTAGTCGTATTTACTTTAAACCCTCTTGTTTCTAAGGCATTTGTCCATTAACTTAATATTGCATTTAAACCTTCATTAGTTTCATGTCCCTCCCCAGACCCCGCACAAGAGCCTCATGCACTGGGCTGCCCTTTTATCAAGAAACAGCAAGCAACAAGGGACTCTCATCTTGAATGCATTTAGTCAATTCATCTATGATTAGTGAAAATAAGGTAGGGTTGCAAACAGTATCCAATTGTCTGAATTCAAATTTGAATTCTATGCCATTAAGGGTGATTCGAATTCAATCCAATTATAATTGGATCAAAGATGAATCACCCCTATCCAATCTGATATATCCAATTCAACTTGATTTAAATAAATATGTTCACAAGTACTTAGAATTTTTTTTTTTATGAATATAAGTACTTAGAATTTATGTTGTATGTATCAGTAAAATTGATTTAAATACTGTATTTTTGTTAAATTATCATAGGTTTAAGTTTCATATAAATTATTTTCAATTCATTTTGTTAACGAAATACAATATTAAAGTCAATTTTAGTTCATTTTATTCATAATATATAATATTTTAATCATTTTAGTTTAATTTATTAATACTATTCAATATCCGATTGCAATCCAAATTTTATTTGAATCCAATATAAATCCAATGGATAAGATCCGATTCAAATTCAAATATAAATGAACCAAATTTGGATATGCTCATATGCCTACACCCATTCAATCCGACCCAGTTTCAGACATAAAATAAGGACCAAGTGATGAGATTGGTGAAAACCATGGTTCACAATTTCAATATCCATGGACATTTCAAAACCATGGTTCACAATTTCAATATCCATGGACATTTCGCCATATATAGAGATGGAGAAATTTTGGGGATATTTTGTTTAACATCACTAGATATTTGGAAAAACTAAAAACACAAGAAAGTTTTCTAAAAACATGGAATTAGTTAATAAACTTCAAGGAATCATTAGAAATATAGTTGCACTTTAACACACTCAAGAAACCATATAAGAGAACTATATAAAACAAATATGGTAAAATTAATAGACTTTAATAGGTATCGTTCTCTTTGTCTCCCTTTAGTCTTTTAGCCATATCATCTCCATTAAATATATCATTTACTAGCCATTTTGACTTCTCTTTTTTGTCACTATATATTGTGATTAGATTCAGAATACCCTTTTGTAGTTATATGCATTTTTCTTTTGAATAATAGTGACTTAGTGAATTGTTTCAAAATAGTAAGCCAAGTACCCAATCACCAATTCCTGATTGGATATCTTAGGAAAATATTTTTAAAATTATTATGATGATGTTTGGAAAATATAAATATAAAGTCTATCAATTAAATATAAAATATCATTGACATATTGAAATATATCCAAGGTCTTTGGAATAAAGATTCCTGGAAAATTACATATCACAACCTAGCAAAATGGAGATATTTTGGGGAAATTTCGCCAAATATCACCAATATTGTGAACCATGATGAAGACCCATCAAAACCATAAAATTTGATGTCTTTCTCACAAGTATTCCAACATTGGTTGTTGCACACTCATGCATATTCTTTGATTAGGTCCAAATACCTATTTGGACTAGGGGTGATCAAGGGTCAGGTTTTGCACATGTGATAAGGGCTACTGCTTGGGCCCAACCCAGCCCAGGCCTAATTCCGAGCCTATAAATTGTATTATAAATACATTAAATATATAAGATTATTATATTGTATATGTGTAGAAAATTTATTTGGTACATAATATAATAGAAAACATTATATAAAATATAAATTATATGCATTATATTATAATATATTAATATAAAACTTATATAAAAATGTATTATATATTAATATATGCAGGCCAAGTTAAGCTCAGATCAAGATTGAAGTATTAGGCCTACGCCTGGCCCAACCCAAAAATTTGTGGGCCTGCTGAGCCTAGGCCTGGCCAAAACACAAAAACTAGGCCAAGCCTAGAATTTACAGTCGGGCTAGGTTGGGCTAAAAATGATTTTTTTTTATCAATAACAACATTTCATTACTTAATCACAAAAGTAATTACAGTGAGGAAGATAAACTTTCTTATCTTCCAACTGGAGCTTAAACTCCCAAGAACAAAAAGGAAAAACTACACTTGTGCCCAAAACAGTGACTCCCTCTCGACTCCTTGCTTAGCTAACCCATCAGCAAAAGAGTTAGCTGATCTTTTCACCCAGCTGATCTTAACTTCCATCTCTTGAACCAGCCACCTATATTTCCACCTCTCATTACTGTACATCCATAATCTGCTATTTTCTTTATTCAGCCACCCTACCACCACCTCCGAGTCCCCTTCAATGATGAGTTTTCTTATCATCTCCTTAGCTCTTTGAACTCCTTCCAAAACTGCAAAGATCTCAGCCCTGAGAAAGTCACCCACTCCAATTGGGCCGGAGAACATGGCTGAAACAAACCCATTCTCATCCCTAAACACACCTCCAATCCCCAATTGTCCAGGATTCCCCCGACTACTCCCATCAAAGTTTAGTTTTAAAAAGTCAGCCGGTGGGGGAGTCCAAGACACACACAAGACTGCTTTGGTCTGAGTGCAGTTAGCAATCTCACCCCACCTCCTCAACAAATCATCCATTGTGAAGTCTGTAAACAGCTCTGAATATTTCAGCCACTGTGAAGTCTGGGTGCAGTTGGGCTAAAAATGATCACCCCTAATTTGGATTCTTTTCTTTTCCAAAATCCATCACATTATCTCTTTTGTGACTTTATCATATGCTTTCTCTAGATCAATGAGCACCACATGAATTCTCACTAAACTTTTCTATTAGTCATCTCAATAGAAAGATAGCTTTCATGGTTGATCTCTCTGGCAATAAACCCACATTGGTTCTTTAATATACTAGTTTCATGTTGTATCCTTTACTCAATTATTCCCTTCCAATGTTTCATAGTATGGTTTATGAGTTTAATCCCACGGGTATGATTATTATTGCAACTTTGTACATAACCTTTGTTTTTAAATATAGGCACCATAGTGCACTTTCTCCATTCATCTGGCATCTTCTTTTCTTTCATTATCTTATTAAATAATTTACCATCTGTTCTTAACACCTTTCCCTTCATCTTATTTAATGCTCTCCTTTACTTATGAAATTCTAACCCTACAAAGCTACATATTAATTGTTTGTGCTATTAGAGTTGCTAATCTCAACGCTATTAGCACCCTCTACATGTTCTTCATTTAATAATTTTTCAAAATAGCTTTCCATGTTTCCTTAATTTCCTCATCTTTTACCAACACTATTTGGTCCTTTTCCAATCTTTATAGCACACTCGCTTTACTTAGATTACATTCTGATCCTCTTCATTCCTCTACCAAGTTTTTTTCTAATAAAAGAACATATCATTAAGAAAAAAGAAAAAGTACAAGAGAAAGGTGACGAACTATCGCCCGAGAGAACACTACCAAGTTTCTTTAGCACTTTACTCCACATCCTAATAAACTAACATGGAAAGAGATGTAAGAGCTTTTATGGTGGAGTTATCAAAAACTCACCTCCTGGCATGAAACCAGTGCCTCCAGCAATACCTGCTGCTGTATTTGCTACCAAGTTACCATAAAGGTTAGGTGTCACCTGCAAAATCACAAAGAATACCACATGAGCTGTTTGCAAAAAGGATCAAGTGTAATCTCATGACTAAAAAATTAAAATGAAGAAATAGATATATAGAAGAAAAGTTCCTAATTAAAGACACTATACATATTCATGAAATTCCAGTCAAGGCTTTAAATAAACTGAAGTAGTTTGGTTCTTTCATTAACTCTTTAGAGCTAAACATTAGCCAAGCTACGGTGGGATCAGCATGTTTAAAGCTTCACTCTTTAAAGATATTTATGCACTTTATGTATAATATCTGTAGAGAAACTGATGTGAACCCCACTGATGTGGTCCCCATAGTGTCCGTATGGCAGCAATATTTCTGTTAGATATGACAGTGTTAGTTGGTAGTTATTTCAGATTTATTATTAGTTATTTCTTATTCTATTTGCCATGTAAGCAATAAGGGCAATTCAGCCCTTTTACAGTAATATAAATATTAAGAGTGGGTCGGCAGAAATTATAACCTTCCCTCTCTTTTTCTGAAACTCTCTTCGTGTACTTCTTCTCTTCCTCTCTTCTCCTCTTCTCTTCAATTTTTCATTCTCTTTTTCTTTTAAATTCAAGACTGATTGTAGTCTAGATCGACTACTTGGTATCAGAGCCGACCTAGGAGCTCTTATGCTAGTCTGATTAGGCCGACTGCATGAGAACCTCCTAGGTTTGGAAGTTTTTCAACAAGGAAGGAGGATTGGCTGATTCTTGGAGGTTACTGGTAGTGTGCGGCTGCTACCAGAAGGTGGCGGCCAGAGATTTTTTCATAATGTAAGCTTTTTTCTTGTGATTGACTTTAGAAAAGATCATCTTGGTTTAGTCTGAGAGGTGCGGCTGGAAAATCTGTGTTTTCTTTAGGGTTTTGAGAAAAAACCCTAAAATTCAAAACTGCTATTTGTTTCATATCAGAATTTGAACTGGTTTCATTCAGAATTCTGTTTTTTGTGTTCTTTGGAAGACCTAGGCCGGTTGTTATCAGTTGTTTGAGTGTTGTTTCTCCTATTACAGTAATTAAAAAAGGGTTTTTTATTAATTCTTGATCAAGAATGGAGTTCAAGAGTCAAGGGGAAGGTGTTTTTGGGACTAGCAATTCTGGTAACATGTCTGAAAATACCTTTCAGATTACAACAGTTAAGTTTGATGGATCAAACTACCTAGAATGGGCTCAATCGGCCATGATGGCCATTGGGGGTAGGGGAAAACTGAGCTAGTTGTTGGGAGATGTGAAAGAACCAACTAAGGAGGACCAAACCTATACCAAATGAGTTCAGGAGAACTATTTGGTTATGGCATGGCTGTGCAACTCTATGCAGCCGCATATCAGCCGGAACTATTTGTGGGCGAAAACAGCTAAGGAAATCTGGGATGTCATGAAAGAGTCCTACTCCCAACCGCTTAATGTTGCTAGGGCTTATGAACTGAAATGTGAGGTTAACAACCTTAAGCAAGGAGAGAAACCGGTCTCGGTTTACTTCTCTACACTGAAATCTTTGAGGAGTGAAATTGACCACCTAAAAACACTTGAGTGGGAAAGCCAGAAGGATGCACAGACTCATAGAAAGCAAGTTGAGATTAATAGGGTTTTTGAGTTCCTAGCTGGTCTGAATCCTGAGTATGATATTGTGAGACAACTATTGACAAGAGACAGTGTGACCCTATCACAAGCCTACTCTTTAGTGCATAGTGAAGAGACTAGAAAAAAGGTTATGATGCAGCATCAGCCCTTCCCACCAACCTTGGCAGCAGTCAAACCTTAGTCTGGGGGTGATACGGAGAGGGATATAAAGAAGGAAGACAAGCAGAATCTAGTAATGTGAACATTGCAAGAAACCCAAGCACACTAAAGACACCTATTGGAAGTTACACCCTCATTTAGTCCCAATAAAACTCAGGAACAAAAGGGGTAATGCTAATATGGCTGTTAATATTGATTGTACCTCCTCACCAGGCACAAAAGGCACACCTTTGACACCCTAGTTGTTGTCCGGGCTGCCCTGACTCGGTTGGAAAAGGAAGTTGGCAACTCGGCTCAATCATCTCAGCCGCCATCAGCTCCCACATCAGCTTTTGCTCATTCAGGTACTCGGGCCTCAGCTTATCATGCTTCAGCTCCAGGTAACATTGAACATTGTTGGGTAATAGACTCAGGTGCATCTGACCATATGACTGGCTTGCCATCACTGTTCACTACCTATTACTTATCTTCTAGCAAAGATAAAGTGTCCATTGCTGATGGTTCCCTTGTTCCAATTTCTGGCAAGGGAGACATCAAGTTGTCTAATGCCATCTCCTTATCTTCAGTTCTGCATGTTTCTAAGCTTAATACTAACTTGCTTTCAATCAGTAGCATTACAAAACATCAGAATTGTTCAGTAACCTTTTTCCCTAACCGATGTATTTTTCAGAACTTTGAGACAAGGAAGGTGATTGGGACTGGCCATGAGACGAATGGGATCTATCTGCTTGGAGAGAGTTCACATTGGGAAGATAGTGAAGATAGGAAGTCTTTTGTTTCTCAGTCTTTTAGTCAGGTTATGCTTTGGCATAATCGGTTGGGTCATTTATCTTTTTGGTCTTTAAAGAGTTTGTTTCCTGATTTATTTGAGTCTGTTCAGATTTGAGATGTGAGAGTTGTGAGCTTGCAAAGCATTGTAGAACATCTATTTCATTGAGTAATAAAAGAAGTAATAATCCTTTTGATATTGTGCATACTAATGTTTGGGATCCTTACCACATCACTGTTATGGAGGGGTATAGATATTTCTTGTTGTTTGTTGATGATTATACTCGTTTTTCTTAGGTTTACCTTATGCGTTCTTGAGATGAGGTTCTTGCTTTGACCCGGATCTTTTATCAGATGATTTTAACCCAATTTGGGATCAAAATCAAAATCTTCAGATCCGATAATGCGAAAGAATACTTTACCAACCAATTAGCCTCTTATTTGCTTGACCATGGGATTCTCCATCAAAGTACTAGTCCTCATACACCACAGCAAAATGGGGTTGCTGAGAGGAAGAATAGGCACATATTGGAGATGGCCAGAAGCATCATGTTTAACTCCAATGTGCCTATTCGTTTCTGGGGAGATGTTATTCTTACAGCAGTGTATCTCATTAACCGAGTTCCTTCACGGGTTCTTGACATGAAGCCCCCATTTACCCTCCTATACCCTAATAAAGACTTGTTTACTATTCCCTTTAAAACCTTTGGTTGTACTTGCTTTGTTCAGATTCTTGGACCTCATCGTTCCAAATTTGATCCTAAGGCCTCCAAATGTATTTTTCTCGGTTATGCACAAACTCAAAAGGGATATTGCTGCTACGAACCCACTTCTGGGAGAAGATTTGTCTCTATGGATGTTACTTTCTTCGAGGATGTACCCTATTATCCTAGGGTTTCTCCTCGGGGGGAGAGTAGTGAGTGTGGGATTAACTCATCAGAAGTTCCTTTACTTGTTCCATTGAGTGATGAGTGATGTAATGGGGAGGGGTGTCAGAGGTGTCAGGATTTGAGAGTCTATCACAGGTGGTAGAGACAGGTTGATTTCAATCATCAACAGTCCAGGCCAGCCCCAGTTCCTTCTGCAGATCCAGATCCAAGTACTACAGACCCTTTATCAAATCCAGGTTCCACTAAGATACCTTCCACTGTTGAGCCTTTACCTCCTTTGGATGACCTTGACCTTCCCATTGCAGTCCGTAAAGGCAAACAGCGTTGCACCATATCCACAGCCCATTGCATTTCCCAGTTCTTGTCCTATAATCACCTATCCCCCTCTTACAGGTCCTTCCTCACATCTATTGCTGATATTCCTATCCCCAGAACAGTGTAGGAGGCCTTGTCAGTTCCTGAGTGGAAATATGCAATGAAGGTTGAAATGGATGCTCTTCTAAGGAATAATACTTGGGAGTTAGTTGACCAGCCTAAAGGGAAGAAACCGGTTGGATGTAGATGGGTATTTACTGTGAAACATAATGATGATGGTTCCATTGAAAGGTATAAAGCCCGGTTAGTTGCAAAGGGATTTACTCAGACTTGTGGTATAGACTACTTGGAGACTTTTGCTCCAGTAGCAAAGATGACCACTATTAGGGCTTTATTGTCCCTTGCAGCCATTTACTCTTGGCCCTTGTTCCAGATGGATGTTAAAAATGCCTTCCTCAATGGAGACTTGCAGGAGGAAGTCTACATGCAGTTGCCTCCTGGATTTTATGACGTAGAAACAAGAAAGAAGGTTTGCCAGTTGAATAAAGCCTTGTATGGACTCAAACAGTCCCCCAGAGCTTGGCTTGATAGATTCAGACAAGCCCTTGACAGATTCGGCTATGTACAGGCCCAGTCAGACCATACATTGTTCATTAAGAGAGTGGACACTTCCTTGGCCTTACTTGCTGTATACGTGGATGATATTGTAGTGACAGGGAATGATAACGGTGAGATTGAGTCTCTCAAACAACTCCTTCATCAAGAATTTGAGGTGAAAGATCCGGGAGAGTTACAATACTTCTTGGGTATTGAGGTAGTTAGATCTAAACATGGGATTTTTGTTTCTCAAAGAAAGTATGTTCTAGATTTGTTGGAAGAAACTGGAAAGTTAGGTGTTAAGCCTGTAGATACACCTATTGAACAAAATCACAAGATCAGTGCAAAGGGTGGAGAGTCACTTGAGGATAAAGCTATGTTCCAACGGTTAGTTGGAAAACTCCTCTATCTTTGTCTCACACGACCGAACATCAGTTATGCAGTCAACGTTGTCAATAAGTATATGCACTCTCCTAGAACTACTCACTTACTTGCAGTTGAGAGGATATTAGCATCTTTGAAGAGGTGCCCAGGTAGAGGTATACTATTCAAGAATAATAATCACATGAAGATAGAGGTTTATAAAGGTGTTGATTGGGCTGGGAGTGTTGATGATAGAAGGTCTACCTCTAGATATTGTGCTTTTGTAGGAGGTAACCTGGTCTCCTGGAGGAGTAAGAAGCAGAGTGTTGTTTCTCGTTCTAGTGCAGAAGCTGAATACAGGTCGATGGCTAATGGTGTGGCTGAAATCCTATGGTTGAAATCACTATTTGAGGAGTTGGGTATTGCTTATGAGAAGCCCTTAGTGTTGTATTGTGATAATCAGGCTGCTATTACTATAGCTCATAATCCGGTACAGCATGACAAAACTAAGCATATTGAAGTAGACTGACATTTTGTCAGAGAAAGAGTTTCATCTCAAGA